TGGTTATTTCTAATTAACTCCGTATACCTTCTATTAAGATCGTATACTCTCTGTTGGATGAAATTACCAAATAATATAAAGATAAAAAGTCATTAGATTATTATTATATTTTTGATAGAAAAACTAAGAATGTTAAGATAGACAATTTGTATAAACATAATTTATATATATACCTATACTAATATATATATCGGGCGATTGATGGTGTACGTAGATTAGATAATATAACAATCAAATAACATTAGTGCTGTAATTTCTGTATTTAAGATAAAATAAAATGTCAGCCGACGCATTACCGTTCATTTTCATTTTGCCGTTGAAAGTGATTCGTATATCATATCTGTGTATAAGTTATGTCCAGTCGATCAATAAAGGTACGTGTTTATTTATTTGCAAATCTATTTAATAACAGTTATAATATGGATAGTTGGTTAAACGGAATACATGAGTAAGAAAAGGAAATCGGAAATAATAAAACCCTCCGAATAAAATAAAAATAATGATATTATTTTACCAGAAACCTCTAAAACCACCGATAATGTAACGTTAGTGAGTCCTAGTAGTAGCAACAGTAATATTGAAAGCAAAAATGGCCAAGTATGGAATGAGTCTCAATGGATCGAATTTAAAGAAAATATCCATGGATTAGTGCAGATGGAAAATTAGGATGTAATATTTGTTCGTCTATAACATGCTTGGGGCGTCAAAGAAAAGATTACGTATTTCTAATGAGTGGGAGTAATGGTTAATTGAGGCTTCTGGGAAAGATCGTACCAGCCAACTATCAAATCTTCGTATAAAATTAAAAAACACTATGAATCTGAAGGGCACCAACTTGCTGACAAAATAAATAAGAAAGAAAATCCATCCAAGTGTTCAGTAAAAAGTATAGTCGATCACGAACAGACACAATTAAGGTATTTAGAACAGCATATATATTGCAATGCAAAATAGACCATTTCTGATCACGATGATTTAATTAAACTACAAGAAATAAATGTGTAAATCTAGGTAAATACTTCATTCTAGATATTCCGCAACAAATATAATAAATCACATATCGAATATAATGAAAAATTAATATCTAAGATTATCACATTAAACTCAAAATTAAGTATTCTTATTGACGAATCTACTAGCTATATAAAAACTACTCTGGTAATTTATTTAAAACTTATTTAGGTGGAAATAATCCGAATATGTATTCTTGGATTTATGTGAATACAATCACAAGATGCTGAACAAATAGAAAAACAACTTTTAAACACATTAAAATCAAATGGTTTACATGAAAATACTTACAAAAATTGGGTGGCTATAGCTACAGATGGAGCTAGTGTCATGGTTGGTAAAATTCAGGTGTAGTAACTCGTTGAGAAATATCCAAAACTATTTACTTGGCATTGCTTTAATCATAGGCTAACATCAGTATCAAATAAAAGACGGCAGACGAGAATTGACCATTTAAATGCTTTATAGATAAATTATATAGTTTATACAATCAATCGCCAAACATTCTCGTGCTCTGAAAGTTGTTGCCAAGATCTAAACTGCAGTTTAATAAAATAGGTCGTGTACTTAGTACTCGATGGGTATCCAGTAGTTTAAGGACAGTAAGACAGTTGGTGTCATTGCCGCCTTCACTCATTTCAAAATTTGTGATGACCAAAGTAATGATAAAAATACACCGCAGTATTTATTGGTTTGAAAAGACTTGAAAGTCCAGAACGCCTTAGATCTAGGTATTATGGCGATGTACTTCAAGAACTTCACCATCGAATGCACCATAGTCCGAATAATTACGCTACCAAAAGCTGAACAGTCAATAAAGAACAATTAGAATAATTGAAAGTTTTAAACAAGAACCAGAGAATATACAAATAGCATTAAATGCTAAATCAAAACTATTATTTAATGAGATTGAGCTTTTTCCGAATAAAAATTGTTGCTATAATCAAAATCACTTATTCAAAGTATAGTTGATAGAATGACGACTGATTGTTCGAGGTCAGAGATGAGAACTAATATCAAGCAATACGTAACCGAACGAAGTGGCACACAAGGAAAGTATACGGCGTATACCGCCGTATACCCTCCACTACAGCACTGGGCAAGGCGTTGTTTAAAATGTATTAAATCCATAATTTCTTTTGTAGGAATCTTAAAGTTTATAGCATTTCTTTTGTACTCAAGCTACGAATTAACGACTGCCATATCAAATATGTGAAAAAGCATACGTAAAGTCTACTTTTTGGATTTAATGAATGTACGATAATAACTTACCAGCTGGTCGTGTTTGTCTATACCACCCATACTTTTATAGTATAAATAAACAAATTCGGAACATTCAATAAAAACCATTGATTTTTTTTTTACGATCAAATCTTTGTACTATAATTGGTGTTCCCGAAGAAATGAAATTTGATCCGAGCTGTACAGATTTATTATCAAACCACTTTACCAAAGCAATATTATGATTTGAACATATCTCGAAACTAGTTCCTCGGCTCATTTTAGCTAGTTGTTTATCTTTTGGAAACGGGGGGTTATTGAATCTATTTATTCAGATTGTTCCAGCTGCAAGTATTTTATACTTCAATAAGCAGCAAAATAAGTTGTAAGAGGAGAAATAGTTGTCAAAAAATAAAAAATGTTTGTTAGGCTTTACATTTTCAACCAATTTTAAAACGATTGCTCCACCTAGACCAAAATTTTTTTGCATATTTTCATCGATTTGTGTAGACGATCCTTGATATAATAAAAGATTATAGACTAATCCACTTTGTCCACACAACAAACAATTTTTTATTCCCCACAGTGATGGTTTACCCCTAATATATTGTTTTATTGATAAATTTTCTTTAAAAGGGACAGTTTGTTCGTCCACACTTAGATTTTGTTCAACAGGTAACTGGGCACAGCGTTTAATAAATGAGTTATACATCGGACGAATTTTCACAAATTTATCGCTGTTTTCTTTGGGTATGGCTTTATTATCTACGACATGGAAACAACTGCGAAGTTCAAAAAATCTATTCCTGGTCATGTTATCCGCGATTAAAGGCACTCTAAAATTTTTTTCCCAACACATCCTAACTATTAGATATTTTAGAACACTAAAAAGCGTATGTATTGCAATCATAGTTTTAATTACATGTGTAGAAGTATTTTTAAATTTTTTCAAATTTTTTTGAGCAGCATATATATTTGTATATTTTGTCATATTTTCGAAATCGTCATTAGAAAAATATTTAGTAAAATAATCAATTGGGTTTAAAATATCGGTCAAATCTGGCTGATTTGAATCAGATTGTATTGTAATGATTGGAGGAGTAAACGAACATTTTTCCAAAATATATTTTTTTTTAATATTGGAATCTTGGTTGATCCATATATGATGTGTACTCATTGACGCTTCTTGGAGGAGGTAGAGGGTGGCCTTTATCTCAGGTCTTAGGATTCTGTCGACTTTTGCCCAGTCTGTCTTCCGGAATGTTCCCATTACGCTGAAGGTGCACCGTGGAGGGATAGAAGAATGTCTTCAGTGCATCCATCCTCTGCCACGGTGCGAGTTTACTCCTAGCGATACGGAGCCCAATGTCGTTTTTCTCCGCGAGAGTTGACAGCGGAGGTACGATGTTGAAACCGACTTGGACTCCTAGGAACGTTGCCGCCTCTCCCTCGGCGAGCGGGCGAAACGGGGAGTCATTGATGTGGAAATGTAAAAGTGGGTGTCCTTGACACCCACTGGTCGGCGTTCGGACAGATGGAGAAACGCACACTTCGCCGCATTGAGCCTGAGCCCCAGCATGTCCAGGCTATTGTGAGCAGGGTCGATGGACATCTGGAGCTCAACGGGGTTGTCGGCGATCAAACAAAGGTCGTAACAAAAGTGTAGATGTCCTGTATGGCACGGAAGAAGTCTTGACCGGCTCCACTCGACTCAATTGCGACTTCCAGTGCCGGGTGTGGAATCGCTCCAAATGCGTTGGACACGTCCAGCCAGGCCACGCACTTGTCCTTCGCGTGCGTCCTGGCCTTCTTGAACACTCGGTTAAGAGTGTGGATGTGTTCGAACTCACCATCCGCCGGCAGGAAGCCTTTCTGACAGGGGTTTAGCACTTTGTTGGTGGTGAGCCACTCTGTCAGCCACCCGGCAACACATCCCACGTACAGCTTGTATAACGTTCTGCTGAGGGAGATGAGCCGCCAATTGCATAGGTCTTCCTTGGCTCCCTTCTTGTGGATGAGCACCGTCACCGCTTTCTTCCATGCGGGTGGAATCTTCTTGTAACGGAGGCACATGTTGATGATCTCCGTAAGTACTGTGCATTCTGGTTCGAGATATTTCCAGTACCGATACGTGAGCCCGTCATCACTAGGCGCCGTGTTCTCGAACTTGCCGAGTCGTTTCGACACATCGACGCACTGGAACGGGTCCATCGGAACTGGGTTTCGACCGTCCACCCGTGTAAATATGCTCCTGTCACATATGTAGATGGTGCCCATACTGTGTGGAAGTGCTCCTCGACCTCTGATACCGCAACTTCGCACGTGTAGAGGTGTGGTATCGTCCGGTTGTAGAATTTGTGCGTCGTCGCCGTCTTCCTGTTCGGGCAGAGGCTCACCCAACTGGTCATCACCACCATCCGCTATGCCGCTCGAGGCGAAACTGCTGCTGGAGGCCGGCGATGGATTGCGCGGCCGCCATAGTTCCGGGCCGGCCACCACGATGTTGTAGGACTCATTTCTCGGAGATTCAAGACGCGGGGGGGAGTTTGATGCTGGTGGGACGGACAGTCTGTCGCTGGCCCCACGCAGCCTACTCCCAGGCCTTGTGGTGGTCGGTGGAATGGTTGGTGATGCCGACAGGGGTACGCCGCCTGTGTCCGGCGGTCTGTACCGGCCGGTATCCCTGGCACGTCTACCACTGGTATGCGAGCATCGCCTCCTCGCGCCGGTCGCGGGTCCTGACTGGCGCGTAATCGCTGCCGAGTCATCGAGACCAGTAGTGGGGCCGACGCGGCATCCAATGCGTCCCGTCGACGGTGGCTCTGGACGTGGTTGGTGAGTCCTTGTTTGCTGGGAAACGACTCACTGCAACCAGCCACCGTACAAATATAGCGCTCGGTGGAGTCTTCGGCGCCTTCAATTTCGACCGGGCACTTATGTTCGCCCGGCCGGACCCCCAGCACTATCCTACACCCGACACATCGCACCACTGTGGCCTCCGCTTCCTCGTGGAGGTCCCGGATGTGCCGTACGATTGACTGCTTAGTACTTGTCCACACTTTCACTTTGAAAGCGGCGGAGCAATCGTACGGACACTTTACTGTTGTCAGCAAAGGGAACTATATCACGATTTTGCGGCCGTCGAGTGTAGGTTGTTTCCGCCTCACTGGTGCGAGACTGTTCGCGACGCTACCGCAGTCGGACACAGAGTCGCTATCCAACTCGTCGCGGTCTAGAGGTGACATCGGAACGGCTCGCGTGGACGGGCTGGTCACCTGGCTGTTGCCAGCGTGGTCGGCCATGACGGGGACTAGACACTATTGGGAAAAAATAATAACTCACGTGTGGAATGAACAGACTGTTCCAAAAAGTGGCGTTCAGCTGGTCGACGAAAAACAAACATACAACACACACGTGGCCAGTTGGACAAGAGACGGCGAACAGCTGCTTGAAAAAAATCACGACGACGAAAAAACAGCTGGGCCAAAAGACGGCACCAGCCGGGAATGGGAGCACTGCACCCTGCGTCCAGACTGCTCCAAAAGGTGGCACCAGCCGGCGGTTTTGGTGGACGACTTCCTTGTTTGTATCTCTCTGTCAAAGCGCCGTATGTTTTGCGTGTATTGCACCACGGTTTTGGCGTGCGGAGTATGAGCCATAACTGGGGGCCGAGGGACTCCGCGCTTTAAGGTGCGCCACCACCTTCGTATTTTTAACGTAGATTGGGCTACGGGCAGATCTTTTAGATGCCAGCAATGTCTGAGTACGGCCTAGGCCCCACCTTCTACCCCTGGGTAATTTGTCCAATTTCCAGGGGATGGCCCGCCACGAAGGCGCGGTACTATGTACCTGGAACCTGGACCTATCAAGGCAAAGGCCATATCAGACAGTTAAAAGACACTTAACATAGAAAAAACATATAGAACAAATAACATAAAAATCGAGTTACATTCGTATCGGTTAGAAAGATCAGTAGTGTATGTTATGTGGGATCTGTTAACTGTTCAACTATTTTTATACAAAAACCTGGCGCCGAGTTTTCACTCGCGGTGACTTAATTTTCTTTCTAAAATATAGTTAAGCTGATAAGAACAGATTTTATTTATCAAATTTTTAAAACGGGAGACAAATTATGGGATACTAAAATACTTTTATAATAGAAAAAAATGTAGGTGAGGGGGAAATATAATTGTGATCAAGCTTAAATTACTAAAAATACAAAAAAGTTATATATATAAAAGTTGTCAAAAAATACACAAAAACAAATAGAATATATACAATGGATCATTCTGCAACTTGCCGGACCCCGGACAGGTGCTCAATGTATATGTCCCTTGATGAGGAAATTGTATAGTTAACGCACAATTTCCTCATCAGGGTTGCATACGGCCTACTACAGAGCACCTTCATGAAGCTGTCGTTTCCGGGGTCCCATGATCTGAGGGCTTTTATGATGAAGGGTACAACTGCCGCCTCACAGTTGTACTGGGCAGCTAGCTCTGTTCTAAGGTCCTCGTACTTGGACCTCTTCTCTGCTGCTACCGCCTCAAACGCCGCTGGCCGGTTGTCAAACGGCACAGTGACGTCAACCACATAGATGTTTGGGCCCTTCTTCAGAACTAGATCCGGTCTCAGGACCTGATTCTCGGAGAGGACCTTAAACCTCGTAGATGCCGCTTTCTTAATCCTGGCGACTATGGCGTTGTGCCTCGCAATGTAGAGCGCGGTGTAGCGCATACAGTGATCGACGATGTAGGCTAGGCTTTCATTTGTGTACCCACATCGTCTACACCTGCGGTCACCGGCTCTCCACGACGAGGAGCCATTCAACGGCACGAGGTTCAGTCTCGCCGGATAGACGAAACGCTAATCTGCAAACCTCGTGAAGTCGCCGTCTTTAAGAAAGTGGGAGGAAGATGGATGGGCGGCGGCACACTCAACGGCTATGCCTTGATCCGGTTTTTGGATAAGGTCTTCGCTTCGTTTGAGTCGGAGTGTGTTCCTTATCACCTCCCAATGTCCAACCGACATTAAGTCTTTTGGAAGCGTTCCGCGCCCTCGACCATACGCTGCTCACTCCAGACCCCCTCACTGTCCGGAAAACGCCTTCTCACCCGACAGATATGACGCGGCTTCCTTGACAGATGGGTCCTTGAGGATTCTCCGTCTGGTCACGTCATTCACGTGTTCGACCGCGTCCCCCGCAACATGTTGGTCAGGTGAGGTGTACAACTTGAAGGCGCTGTCCACTGCCGCGATATCGGAGTCTTCTGCGAGCAGCCTAACACCGCAACACCCTCTATTGATGGATCCATAAATGTACTCCCCCGACGCTTCCTGGGGGAGGTAGAAGGTGGCCTTTATCTCGGGTCTCATTACCTTGTCCACTTTCGCCCAGTCCGTCTTCGGGAACGTTCCCATACGCTGGAGGTGCACCGTGGAGGAATAGAAGAATGTCTTCAGTGCATCCATCCTCTGCCACGGTGTGAGTTTACTCCTAGCGATCCGGAGCCCAATGTCGGTTATTTCCGCGAATGTTGAGAGCAGAGGCACAACGTTGAAAACAAATTGGGCTCCTAGGAACGTTGTCGCTTCGCCCTCGGCGAGCGGGCGAATCTGGGAGCCGTTGATGAAGATGGGGGTGTCCCTGACACCCATTGGCTGTACCAGTTGCATACTCCTAAAAATTTTCGTACGTACTTAACCTTCATTGGAACCAGAAAATTATCGATGCAGACTAATTTTTCCGGCTGTTTCTGTATACCTTCCTAGTCTACAATAGTACAATGTGCCCAAAAATGAAATTTTGCGTAAACCGATTTTACATTTTTTTTGTGTTGCACGTTAGTCCGAATCTCTTAAGGAGTTCGAAAACTTTCTCTAAGTGAGCCTGGTGTTTATACTCGTTTTTAGAAAATACTTCTATATCATCTAGGTATACTTGTACGAAATCATCCTGACTTCGTTTATGAGTCTTATGAAAGTCATTGCACTATTTTTTAGACCGAAAAGGAGGACTCGGAATTGAAATAGATCTCTACGTGTCCGGAAAGCCGTATATTTTTGTGCTTTTTCCTGCAGTTGCACTTGCCAGTAACTGCTCCGCAGGTCCAGCACGCTAAAATTTTTCGCATTCCGCATTTGTTTAATCATTTTATTAAGATCCGGCATCTGGTACGCGTCGGACTCTCCGTCACGTCGTTAAGCCGCCTGTAGTCGACACAAAGGCGGATTGTCCATCCTTTTTGCTTGCCAATACTACTGGAACGGCCAACGGTAAGGTGCTAGGTTCTACGAGCCCCTTTATTTCCATATCATCGATAGCAGTTTGTTGTAAAATGTGCATTTCCATTTGTTTACAACAATATTCCAAGGATTAACATTACTTGTTATCCATAACAAGTCATCTTTATTGCCTTAAAATAAATAAAACGATTTTGAATTTTAGATATTTTTTATGAAAAAATATGAATTTTTGTCATTTAAATTGATCTTAATAGTTTTTAAGATTTACTTTCATTTTCAACAATAGATGGTATTTGTTGTATATTTGGTAATAAATTTGTTTCAGTACTAGTAACTGGTGTTATTTTCCTGATAACTTTTCTCATGTTACAATATTTATCCCACATTTTACCACGGTTTGGTGTGACTTTATTACCTTCTTTTTTGTAAGGAATATTATATGATTTTTTTGACTCTGATGGAAATAATTGTATTATACTCTCAGATTTTTCTTAGTTAATGATTCTTTTAAACAGTGACTAATTATTGAATAAGTCATTTTATTTTTTTAAGTTGAACTTAAAATTTGGCGTTGTTTGAAATAATTTAGTATTATGTTTCCTTCTTCATTCTTAGTAAGAATTTTATAATCATCATTTTATTCCTGTTGTAGTTATATGAAATTTAATAAATTATTTTTTTAAAAGGTTGGCTGGTTAATAAATAATATCAATACATAATTATTATTAATATAAAAAGAATAATTTACTTTTGATTTTATTCTATTATCTGTCAATTGGTTCATTGTTATAAATTATTAAACTCTCATCAACATCAATAATATAAAATGTTTGGATTTAATTTATGTTTATATTAGTATTACTAGATCCTGAAGCAATATTTTCCATGTCAGTATCCTTAAAATAAATGTCATTTAACTGATAGAATATAATTCAAATAATTTAAAGAAATAATTTTTACCACTTCAGAAATTGGCTGTTTTGCTCGTTTTTCTAATAAAATATTAAAAATCTTTGTCCTTAAACCAATTTTTGGAATTAGTTCTTTTAACATTTCTCGAGTTAAATTCAAAAGAGATTCTTAATCGATTTCTTCTTCTAATTAAAAAAAATTAATTCTAAATTTTAATGTGATTAATTCAATATTTTTATTTAATTTTAGGAAGTCTTAAAATTTATAAATTATAAATTTCAGTTTAAAATTGTATTTATATATTTATTTCTAAAATTACCAATTATATTATCAGGTAAATTCCATTCCTTCCATTTTATTTTAATCTAATCGTCCATTTTAATAAATTAAAAATTTAGTACGTTCCTTTACACATAAAACAAAATTTAACAATGTTAAAATAAAATACTATTTTTTTTTAATTTGAAAAATATTTCATGCTAGAAGTTTCAATTAATTAATAATCTAACGATCTAGTAGCGTCTGGGTGATCTACCGTGTTCGATCCGTAACATAGCGATGGTCTCGTTCCACCAATGAACTTGTCTCTTGCTGGCGAGAGAAGAAGTTCTGGGTAGCATGCAGGTGTCGCAAGCGGCGGATAAATAGGTAACGAGTTAGTCGGTGGATTGGTCAGCGGTTGTGCCGGCGTCGAGGCGACTGCCCAGTGAACTGCCAGGGCATCCGTGTCCATGCGTCTGTTGGATTATCCTGTGAACCGTTTGTGCTTGGTAGTCAAGTCGGAACTAAATGAAGTTGTGATCGCTGGCCGATACAACGTTCTCCAGCACTTTTCAGCCGCGCAAGACTGGGGTAACATCAATGATCGACTCAGCGTTTGAACTCCGGTAGGTGGGAGTAGCACCCATATTGGCAACAAGTAAGACCAGGCTGGCTGCAAGGTCTGCGATTCTGTTACCTCTTGTGTCGTTATGCGCTGATCCTCACCCCTGGGACCAGACATCAAAGTCGCTGCCGATGACTAATGGCTGTTCGAACAGAGGCCTCGATATCCGCGAGAAAGGCGGAGAACTCTGCTTCAGACATTTCGGGATATATAACAGCTATAAATATGGGTGTCGAGTATGTCTGGTTTAGGCGAAGC